TGCCGCATGTGTCATGATTGTGACATAGACGCACGGTATGGCCCGCCCATGTATAGTCAACACATGGGGCCCAACCAGGGCTACCCCATATGTGCGGTGCACGTGGGGCCTGGCGCAGGCTTCCTTCCTGGGATACTCCTTCCTGAGGATGACCTTGTCGGGAGACCCTTGCCGGGCTCCCCCTTCCCCTTGCAGGAGACTGGGTTGAACCATATATACAGAAGGGCCGCGGATTTCGTCACAATGCAACAACTTGGTGTATGCTTGGCATCCTACATTGTCAAATTGATAATAGCAATTACCATTACATTTATAGTCATAAGTGACCAGTACAACCTTACAAGCTGATGTAGCAGACCAGTATCAACTATGTATGACAAACAAGATGGTTGAAACCTTCTGTTTCTTGATCCACCATGGCGACGCCGGCCTCCAGCCATGCGAGCACGCGTCCGTCGTTGAGCAGCTCCGGGGCAAAGAGGTTCTTCCAGCCGTCGCAGCATGCAGCGGGCTCCCCTGACTATGGCCTCTGGTAGGTCCCAGATGATCTACCAGCTATGACAGCGTAGAATTATTGGGCAAAAGTACGAATTGGATCAGATGTGAGTATAATTGGGGAGCAAGTAAGGATGTATGTATTGTCTATGAGCCATGACGTCGATAGGAATGAATCCAGAAATGCATAATGGTCTTCCGAGCCACATCCCGGCTGTTATATAGGAGAGGGGTTTAACCCAACAGTGAAAGTAAAAACGAGATGTGCTACAGTAAAATGATAAAAGTCGATCCAGCGGTGACTACCAGTCGAAGACGCAAGAGTCACCGTGAACCGTTGGATCACTCGAAGCGGTATTGTAGGTCAAGCTACAGTTAACTGAACCCGTCGACAGTGTTAACTGAAGAAATACCTTCCTTAACCTGACAGCCTCGCAGACGCGTGCTCGTGGGACCACGGAGAGAGAGAGAGAGAGAGAGAGCGCTTCCATGGCCGGCGGCGATTGTTCTCCCGTGGCGGCGGCGAGAAAGTGGGACCACGAAGAGTATCGGTTCAAGACGCCGGAGGAGGATTCCTTCGACCCGCGATTCAGCGAGTACGACCCCAAGCAGGGTTGTTTCATATACGTCCGCTACTTCTTCGACGGTGACAAACTCGACCTCGACGAGGAGTGTACGTTCCAATCCAATCTAATTCCCCTTATTTTAGTTCATGATTATGTTCCGTTGAACTTCTTTTGGAGAAGTTCGGAGGGGATTGAGGTGGATTTTGATCTATAGCGGATTTAACCCTCCCCAAACCCCTCCCCTTGCAACAGAACAAGCCCTTATCGATCCTTGTTGACTTCGTTATGCATGTCTAGTTCATGAACATCAGTCAGTCAGTGTCACTTCATTACTCAAAATCAATCTGAAGGTTACTTTCACTTCCTACTAGATTTATTCCGAAGCAAAGACTGCAATTTTCAAATTTATTTGTCAATTAGGCTCGGTTTGGACACGACTACTTTTAATAACTACTCCCTCCTTTCCCAATTATAAGATGTTCTAACCTTTTCCTGAATCGGATGTATGTACATGTGTTCTAGGTGTTTGTTCACACATTTTAGTCTGTATGTAGTCCGTTTAAAATATCAAAAACATTTTCTAATTCGGAACAGAGGTGATAGTATATTACTATGCAGAAGATGAGAGCACAGCCTGCCTGGTTCGGCTTTCAAGGTTCTTTTCCAACCAGTTTACACCTACATACATACTCGTCTTGTTACTCTCCTTGATTGATCGATATGCATTTTCTTCTCATTTGACAGCACCTATTGGTCCCATGCGACATACTGGTAAAATCTTCAAAGAGGGGTTCCGGCTCAAAAACTCGGTCAATGTTGTCTCCATCAAGATTGTTTCCTCCGACTATGGCTACCCACTCAATGTCTATGGTACCATCATAGCCAGGGACAGTCTGGATCAAAAATGTGTCTATATATTCCGGCGCGACCAGGATGATTGCCAGCTCATCAGCTCAAGGGTATTACTACCATTTGCCTCATATCTACAGACACATACAATTTATCGATGTGTGTTTTCTTGTACTGGTACTTTCTCATTTCAGTCCTCTGATTTACAAAAAAAATGGTGATTTCATGACGGAGAAATTTTGACTATTTCTTTAAATGATTATTTCTGAATGTTGTATATTAGCAATCCATATTTGGGTTTTGTATGTTATACTTGAATAGCGAATCTGGTTTTGTATCTGTTCCATCTGATGTTGATTTTAAAGATACATGTCTTGTAGGGTATAGTGTTAGGAGCCAGGGGTTTATCACTTGCGTGCCTCAGTTTATGGCACTACAGCAATCTGCACAGTAAGAAAAGGAAGTACAAAAAACACATGACCACAGACGTAGCATAATTTTTCTGAGTGTAATTACCTTGTTTCGTCATTCAGAACATAGCTTAAAATGAACCCGAAAGCAAGGGTAATTCAATCAATCCCAGAAACAAGCACCTGGAATTTATCTATTCAAATTGGTCTTGCAGGATGATTCATTGATTTTGACTGGCCCGAAGAGAGGATTCATGGTATGCGATGATATATTCTTCGAAATCAATCTGAAGGTTAAGGATGTGCATGGGAGGACTGTCGATGATGATAGACTCAGTAAAGGCCTGATCGAGGTGGATGCTATCCGCAGGCTGGAATTTGATCCCAGATATATGGTTGAAACGGAAACACTCGTCAGCATGCACAGCATATTGGATTTAAACTACACATTTGTAAGGAGGTCGGTGGAGGGCACTGTTGAGATCAGGATCCTTCAGGGACCTGATGAATTCCATGGGAAGATCGCCGCTTCCACTACCAGCATTCCATGCGACATTGTGCTACATGATAGCAAAGTGTCTGGTGCGCTAATTGCAGGTGACAATGGAGTCCTACAAATGGCGCGGCGCATAGTAGGAGTCTCTGTGGATGAGATACTGGTATTGACTGTTGCTGCTGCTGTCGGTGATGATAAGTTATCTGTCGGCACTGTTGAGTTTACTCCAAGGCGCAATGGTTACGATGCTGAGATTATCATATGCGGCAACTACATGATGCTTCTGAAGGTGACTTGGTCGATTGTGTATTTCTGATGCAATTCTTAGTTATTCAGTCGCGGCAGTCTGCCAGATTCTCGAGATCCTTTTTTTTTATAATCCTCTAGATCGTTTTGATGCAATGAAGTTCCATTATGCGGACCAGTTATGGTACATGCTCAAACAATATATGTGTTCCAGCGTCTATTGTATCTATTCTGACTCTTCTGGCTGATGTAAGCTAGTATTACTGGAACTGCTTGTAGTACATGCATGAAATTTAAGACTCTTGTGTAGTATTTACGTCAGCATAGTCGGGTTTACTCGGAGTGAAATTATAAACTATCCCCTAAACTTTGACATCCTTAAAAGAATGTCGATATGAAGTTTTTCACCTTGTTGAATTGCAAGATGTAGTAACCAGAATGCACTTATATACAAGATCTTAAGACCTGTGTGTTAGAACCTGTGTTGCAAGTTCAATGTCTAAGAACAAGACACTAGTTTCATCACATAGAAAAGAACTCAACTTTGTAGAACCGTTTAACTTGAAAGCTACCCTCATTTTATACAGCCAAATTTTGGAGTCTTCGAATAGATCTCATGTGTTTGTGATTTAGGGAGGATTTTTTTTTTCTGGAACACGTCACTTAGCCAACATTATCTATACTAATTAACTGAGGGCCCGTTGCCAGTGGGTGATTAGCCAACTAACATTTTCAAACATTTGAGTTTGATGACTACTTCTTCATACACATTGTAAATTTTCGGTATATATCAGGAACATCTTTTAAATACATGTTTAATATATTTTGAAATATATAATTAACATGATTTTATACACGACCAAATTTTTTAAAAATTTATGTTTTTATGTTCAAAATTTTTAATATATGTTCTTCATTTTTCCTATACACGAGGTCATTTTTTTGTACTAGTTTAACATTTTTAAATAGATGATTAACATTAAAAAAATTGTGTTTGATGACTACTTTTTCATACATTTTGCAATTTTTTGGGTATAGATCATGAACATTTTTTAATACATGTTTAAGATTTTTGAAATATATGATTAACAATGTTTTATACACAATCACCATTTTTAAAATTTATGTTCTTTCCACATTTCTGGTTTCTTTTTTTTTGAAATTTTTTCAATCTTTTCATTCTCAATCATGGCAGTACAAAGAACACCAGAGGTAATAAGAATTACAACCAGGTCCGTGGACCACCTAGCGACGACTACAAGCACTTGAGTGAGCCGAAGGCGCGCTGCCATCATTACCCCTCTCTCGCAGGAGCCGGGCAAATTTTGTTGTAGTAGACGGTCTATTAGTCATCGTGCTAATGCCCATCAGACCAGCGCACCAGAGTAATAACCAGCACCGATGAAGAAGTCGTAGATTGGAAGAGGCAAACCTGTAAACACCCAAAAGAAGACGAATGAAGATCGGGTCCAAACAGATATGCCGAAGACCAGCACCAACCAAATCCATTGAGATCTGACAGAGACACACCTCGATACGCCCTCCAACTGAATCCATAGGATGGGGACAGAACATGGGAGACATTATTCCTATTGAGAGACATCGCTGCCGCCACACTAAACCTAACAAAAACGAGAAAGGGGTCCCTCCCGCTGGCGGGGGAGAAGGAGGAATGCCTTTTTTTTTGATAAAAGGCATACGTCCGACTTTATAAATAAAGCCACCAGACAGAGTAGCGCAATCAACACCAACCAAACACATAGCAGAACAGCAGATAAAATAAGTTCGCATACATGGCAACCCAGCCGGTCATGGCACGCAGGCCAGCCCTTAAAAAGGGCCCAAGTTGCGATATAATATGCCTCCTTTTTCTCATTAAAAAAAACTCTTGGATCGATCAAACCCTAGAGAGAGAGAGATGAGAGAGACTCATCTTCCATGGCCGGCGGCGATTCTTCTCCCGTGGCGGCGGCGGCTGCGGCGAGAAAGTGGGAGTGGGACCAAGAAGAGTATCGGTGCGAGTCGCCGGAGTATTCATTGGACCCGCGATACAGCGAGTACGACCCCAAGCAGGGTCGTTTCATATACGTCCGCTACTTCTTCAACGGCAAACTCGACCTGGACGAGGAGTGTACGTTCCAATCCAATCCAATCCCCCTTAATATGCATCTCGTTATGTTCGGTTAAACCTCTTTTGGAGGTGGATTTTGATCCATAGCAGATTTTATCCTCCCCAATCCACTCAAATCCCCTTGCAACAGAACAAGCCTATCCATCCTTGTTGCTTCGTTGTGCATGTCTAATTCATTTCAATTCAAACACCAGTCAGTCAGTATCACTTCATTCATCAAACCCAATCTGAAGGTTACTTTCACTTCCTGCTAGATTTACTCGGAAGCAAAGGCTGCCACTTTCAAATTCATTCCTCAATTAGGCTCGGTTTACACCTACATACATACATACATACTCTTTTGTTACTCTCTTTGATTGATTTATATGCGTTTTCTTCTCATTTGACAGCACCTGTTGGTCCCATGCGACATACTGGTAAAATCTTCAAAGAGGGATTCCGGCTCAAAAATTCAGTCAATGTTGTCTCCATCAAGATTGTTTCCTCTGACTATGGCTACCCACTCTATGTCTACGGTACCATCATAGCCAGGGACAGTCTGGATCGAAAATGTGTCTATATATTCCGGCGCGACCAGGATGATTGCCAGCTCATCACCTCAAAGGTATTACTGCCACAGACACATACAATATATCAATGTGTGTTTTCTTGTACTGGTACCTCATATCAGTCCTCTGGTTTAATAAAAAAACTGCTGATTTCCTGACGGTGAAATTTCGAGTTAAGTTGTGCACAACGTCTATCAATGATTACTTATGAATGTTGTATGTCAGTAATCCATATTTGGGATTTGTATGTTATACTTGAATAACGGATCTAGTTTTGTATCTGTTCCATACTCGAATGTACACATACTTGAGCCAACCAGCGAATCTGTATTGGATACCGTATCAGATACCGATTTGCCTCCGATACTCCCCCTATGCGTATCCATGGAGGATCCTTGAATAAATGATTTAAAAGAATTACAATACTCCCCCGATACTTGCCAATACGTTTTGGATACGGCCCAGCCCAGCCCTCTCAACCCAGTAAAGAAGCAATCAGCAACCCTAGTACCCCGATGGCCCCCATCTGTTCCCTCCCAAGTTTCTTTCCTCCTTCTCAAGCTCACACCAGGTGGCGGCTGTTCACCCAGTGCCAGCGGCTAGCCGGCGACGAGCTGCCCCTCCTCCTCACCAATGTCCTTGCTCAGGCGAGGCTAGTAGCTGCATGCTCAGGAGAGCAAACATGAAAGTAATATGCTGTTCCTAAGTTCTATACTTTATTTTTGAATTAAAAAATAGTAAAATGTATCCCCGTATTGGCACTTTTTCAGAATGGCGAATTTACGTATCCATATTGGCCCGATACCGATACTCGTATCCGTATTGGTGCTTCGTAGGTTCCATATGATGTTGATTTTAACGATACTTCAATTAGTTGTCTTATTATAGCGAATAGTGTTAGGAGCCAGGGGTTTATCATTTGCGTGCGTGAGTTCATGGCACTACAGCAATCTGCACAATAAGAAAAGGAGACAAAAAAACATGGGCACAGATGTAGCACAATTTTTCTGAGTCTAATTACCTTGTTTCGTCATTCAAAACATAGCTAAAAATGAACCCCAAATATTCAATCAATTCCAGAAACAAGCATCTGGAATTTATCTATTCAAATTGGTCTTGCAGGATGATTCATTGATTTTGACTGGACCCAAGAGAGGATTCATGGTATGCGATGATATATTCTTCGAAATCAATCTGAAGGTGAAGGATGTGCATGGGATGACTGTCGATGATGATAGACTCAGTAAAGGCCTGATGGAGGTGGATGCTATCCGCAGGCTGGAATATAGTCCCAGATATGTGGTTGATACGGAAACACTTGTCAGCATGCACAGCATATTAGATTTAAACTATACATTCATTAGGAGGTCGGTGGAGGGCACTGTTGAGATCAAGAACCTTGAGGGACCTGATGAATTCCATGGGAAGATTGTTGCTTCCACTACCAGCATTCCATGCGACATTGTGCTACATGATAGCAAAGTGAGTGGTGCGCTAACTGCGGGTGAAAATGGAGTCCTACAAATGGCGCGACGCGTAGTAGGAGTCTCTGTGGATGAGGTGCTGGTGTTGACTGTTGCTGCTGCTGTCGGTGATGATGAGTTATCTGCCCGCACTGTTCAGTTTACTCCAAGGCGCAATGGTTACGATGATGAGAGTATCACCTGCGGGGACTACAAGATGCTTCTGAAGGTCACTTGGTCGATTGTGTATTTCTGATGTAACTCTTAGTTATTCAGTCACGGCAGTCTGCCAGATTCTCTAGATACTTAGGATGCAATGAAGTTTCATTATGGGAACCAGTTATGGTACATGCTAAAACAATATATGTATTCCAGCGCGTATTGTATCTATTCTGACTCTTCTCGCTGATGTAAGCTAGTTTTACTGGAAGTGCTTGCAGTACATTTATGAAATTTAAGACTCCTGTGTAGTATTTACGTCAGCATAGTCGGTTTACTCGGAGTAAAATTCTAAAACTATCCCCAAAACTTTGACGTCCTAAAAGTAATGTGCATATAAAGCTGTTCGCCTAGTTGAATTACAAGATGTAGTAACCAGAATGGTTCAAGACCTGTGTTAGAATTGCACTGTCTCTTTGAATATGTTGCAAGTTCATTGTCTATGAATACTATACGGATGCAATGTATGTTCTAGTGCACGAAGCACCTTTATTGTTATTTTTGGTTAGAGTCAAAGAGCTCTGTAGTAGCTTCCAGTTCTTTTGATACTTCCTCTATGTATCCAAGGTGGCTGTGCAATATTTTCAAATCCAAACCTATAGCAGAATTTACCCGTTTTTATCATATGTTTACATCTGCAGAGTCTGGATATCTCGGAAGAAAATGTACTATTCTACAAAATTCTTGGTTTGATCAATGGGCAAAGCAATATGAACTCCAGAGCAACAAGACTTGCTATCTTCAGGAGGTGTTTCAGGCTTTCAGCGAATAAGAACATAACACACATGGATCTCTTTAACAGCTAGCATTGGGCCTCTAGTCTCCTGCCTCGCCATATAAACCAGGCCATAAACCCAGCTTCTTCTACGTCCAAGCAGAGATCTTTGCAAAGCAATCTCGAAAGCTGAAGATCTGTTGTGCCTTGTTTTACACTGTCACAAAATCTACATGTAGAACTGCAAAAATTCATCAAAACTTGCAAATCTGAATTTAGACTCCTTTACTATTTTGATTTGAATTTTTCAATCAAGCATCTTTGCTGCAATACTGTATTGATTTTTACTGTTAAATATGGCGTAGGGGAAAGGGCCTGAAATTGCATCTCTATCAGTCTATCAGTGAAGAAAGTGCACAGAAGGGCTGTCGAGTTCGTCACAATGCAACAACTTGATGTATGCTTGGTGTCTTAGACTGTCAAGTTGATAATAGCAACCCTCGCAAAAAAAAAAGGTTGATAATAGCAACGCATGTGAAACACTGCAGCACTGTCAAGTTGATAATTCAGATTATGAAACACTGCCAAGTTACATTGCTAATCATAATTGACTACAACCATTAACATTGCTGATCATAAGTGACTACAAGTCTACAACCTTACAAGCTGTTGTATCAACTATGACAAACAAGGCGGTTGAGGTCTTCCGTTTCTCGATCCACCATGGCAACGCCAGACTCCAGCCATGCCAGCACGCGTTCGTCGTCAAGCAGCTCCGGGGTGAAGAGGTTCTTCCAGCCGGCGCACCACGCCGTGGCCTCCCCCGACGACGGCCTCGCGGACTGCAGCCAGTGGCGCAGCGCGCCCTCCCATTTGCCGAAAAACTCCTGCTCTAGGATCGACACCACGTCTTCGGTCCGCACGAGAGGCGTCCACGACATCACCTCGCGGAACTTAGTGTCGCGCTGCTTTGGTGGTGTGATCTTCAGCTGTTGCAGCCATCGTGTGAGCCTGGGCAGGATGTGACGCCGGGAGAAGATCTCCCAATGCGTCGGGCCCAAGTAGTCTTTCCATGGGGAGATGACGTCGTAGCAGCCGCCGCTGATCTTGCTCTCCACGGTGCCGTAGAGGCTCTCCGGCAAGTGTCCGATCAAGGGGATCCACGGGAGTAGCCAATGGTCGCAGCCCGGGCTCCACAACGGCTCCCACTCTCGCGCTTTCACGGCGATCCTCGGCGTGAGGAACCGCTCGACGATGTGCTGCACGGCCGGAGTAGGCAGCGCGGCCCTCCACGCCCCTGGCGCGCGCTTCTTCCCCCGGAGCAGCACCTCCTCGGACTCGACGATCGCCGCCAGCGCCTCCGCCGTCTCCACGCTGTCGTCGCCTTGAAGCTTCACGTCGCGCAGCAGCGCGAGGGTCTTCTCGTAGCACTCCCGTTCGAGGCGCAGGGCTCGTGAGACGGCCGCCGACTCGTGCCACTCGTCTTGGGGCGGCGGCGACGGCGCCGGCGCGCCATGCAGGCCGTTCTTGCACGTCGTCTCGGAGTGGCCGATGCCGGCGGTTGAGCAATGCCGGATGGGCTTTATAGGGGCGATGATGCCCTGGCCGCGCGCGCCGAGGCCCGAGCCTTGCTTGTAGTTCCACAGCCGCATCATCTTGGCCACCGGCGCGGTGGTGCGCGCGAGGCTGCCCGGCATCTTCAACGGGTACGACGACTCGTCCTCCTCGTCGAGCAGCGCTGCGGTGAAGCTGCGCTTCAGGAGCGCCATGCCGGCGATCGACGTTGCCAGGCGATCGAGGACCAAACAGGGAACGCCGCTACTGCTTGGAACCGGCCGGCGTGCTGTTCGTTTCCTTCTGCTGATCGATGCCTACGCTATGAGAGTTACATATCATACGTAGATACGCATCATTATATAACTACGTAGGAGTACTAGGCAGGCTGTTAGAAGCTAATCAGTCGACTCCGTTTTCGAGACGAGCCCCTGAACGCGTTTCCGATTCCAACAAAGCATCTTATTTACTGAGAT